CGGCGCGATGTGCCGAACTTCTCGCAGAACCGGCAAGGGGTGCTTTTATGAAAGGTTTCCCCGAGTCAATATTAACGAACTTTGCACTGTCCGAAATCGGTATATTTATGTACGAACTTTAATGCAATTCCATTAGATGCAAGAACAACTGCGAATTTTGATTTTAAACAATAACTTAATTGATATTCAAAGGGGATGCGAATTTTTGATAATGAGATGACCGATCGACTTGATGGCTGAAAATTTTTCTTTTTCTTTTGGTGACAGTTTGTCAACCTAAAATGTCAGCTGCGCGCTGCTTTACCTACGCGCGTTGCCAACCACGCAAATTCATAAAATATTTCAAAGTTTACAATTCAGGGTATTCACTAATTACAATGTTTTTGCAAGTTAGGTAATTCGAAGGAAAAGATACAAAATGTAAATAGATACACGTTAGATAATTCAAAGGCAAAGGATACATTACGTACACTGAGGGAAAAAAATATTAAAATCAAATAGAAACGTAATTGATCTTACTATAAACGTCAACGAAAGTACTGTATATCGGTAAATATTCAATTCAATTACGCGCATATTAAAATGACCGCGTTCGTACTAAAAAAGCATCCGAGAAGTGAATAATCAAGAAAAAACAATTAAAAAAAAAATTTATTTGCATGTTGCCTACAGCGGAATTCGAACCCGACCATCTCCGGATACCAACAACTTGTGGCAAGCATCTTTGCGCACTCAGCTACACCCAGACATATAAATTTGCTTTCAAATGTTGAATATCCATCAACACCACAGAATGCGATTTGTCCGGATAAACATGTATGTACTATGTATGCACGATTGACAGAAATTCTTGAGAATTCTACTCTCATTCTACCATTCTTGCTATGTGTGTATGTGTGTTTTGTCACCGCTCTCAGTGCGGCGCTCTGCATGCTTGGGGTGCGTATGTACACTTACATATACATACTCAGATGTGAACAGTCAAATACGTGCGTAATAAATTTTGAATGAAAATATTATTTTTAAATACGAACATTTTTAAACGACAATCAAATATAAAGTATTCATTTTTACTATGCATTATTTCCCTCAGTGTAGGTGGATAACAATTCTAAAGTTACTCAATTTTTAAAAATAATTCATGGTTGCAACGGCTAAACGGCATGCGTCGCTCGTTTAATCATCCTGGCGCCCGTAGACGCGCTAAGCGGATAGGCTGCTCTCTAGCTCCTTTAGTTTACGGACGGTGACGCTGGCCGCAAAGCTTGCATATGCCAACGGAGGGGCATTAGCTGCTGTGGTGCGATAACGCCAGGCAATTTGTGCAGAAGTGGTGTGCACGTGCAATCAAGTAACGTTGCGCTGGCTGCATTGCGCGAAATGCCTGGCAAACAGGCAGGGCGTGGTGACGCGCACACAAGCGGCATCGCTTGAAGTCCGCTTCCTCGTCCTCGGGTTGCGGCTCTGGGACCTGGTCGAAAATCATGGTTTCCTGCGAGGCGCCGGTGTCGGAACGCCGATACTACTGCGCGGTGCTGGTGTCAGAACGCCGCTGCTGCTGCGAGGTACAGGTGCCGGGGCTGTACTGCTACTGCCAGTTTCCATCTGTAAGTAGGCCGTTAGAGGTAGACTATTAGTGGGGAATCTACAAGACAATTGGAAAAACGTGGGATTAGAATATTTATTCATAAATATATAAGTACAATTAAATTACTTCGGGATGAGAGAATTTGTTGGCACAAGTGTTAGTGTATTTAACTAGTGCTCGGTGTTAGAATATTTATTCAAAAATAGCGATTATTAAATACATTTGAGAATGGGAGTGATTAAAGGTTTTAATTAGTGCGCATTTGGAGAAGTCAGAGGGCCGTCACCCGTTGGCAACGGGCATATTTTTACTATTGGGCGAGTGAGAATGCCAGATTGGGTGCGGAAGTCTACAACACGAATATGTCCATCTTTCCTATGGTGCACCTTTTCGATGCGACCTAGACGCCATTCAGTGGGAGGTAGAGTATCATCAACAATGAGGACAAGTTCGCCGACTTTTGACTCAGACTGCGGGTTTTTCTATCGGTACCTTTTCTGTAGATCTTTTATATATTCTTCCTTCCCACGTTTACCAAATTCGTGGTGTAAAACTTTTACTTTCTCCCACCTGTTAACCAGAGGTAGATTTTGGTGATTAATTTCTGGTAGGGCTTAGAGTGGGGCGCCTCGTAAAGAGTGAGCGGGAGTTAGTGCGGGGAGATCTGTTGGATCTTGCGATAACGCAAGGCTTCTATCCTAATTAAGAGAGTGGTGAACTCTTCAAACGTAAATTTGCTGGGTCCGGCAGTCCTTTTGAAGTGCATTTTGAAACTCTTGACTGCGGATTCCCACAGACCACCCATATGGGGAGCGCTGGGAGGAATGAATTCCCAGTTGATTCCTTGAGGAGAGTATTTATGTATGACATATTGTGATACTTCTTTTAAGAAAGCGAGAAATTCCTGTTCGGTCGCTCGTTTGGCCCCTATAAACGTTTTACCATTATCGTTCATCATTTTATCGGAATAACCACGACGTCCGACGAAGCGAGAAAATGCGGCGAGAACCACATCCGTGGTGAGATCGGAGCACAACTCAAGGTGGTATGTCGTAAAAAATACAAAAACAGCCACGTATCCCCCACCATGGTGTGCGATCTTAGCAGTGAGGCCTTTAACTTGCTTTGGCTTGAGCCTAGGAATATAAACTTCCTGCCGTATCACTTGTTGCATTAGTCGGAGTTCTGCATGGAGAAGCAGTTCGTGCAGGAAGCGTATGAAGAGAACAACGAATTGGGATTCTGCGGGGATAATTATCGGATGGCGTTCATTATACGTCAAGGTTGAGTGAGCTAATTGACCGTTGATTCGTCTGCGTTAACGCCATGAGCCTGTGTTTTGCATAGCGGAGGTCATCGTGCGAGAGGGATTGGGAATGTATATCATGTTCTCGTCGTACTCGATTTTCAAGTTATTCATGCCATAACCCTGAGGGCGCGCGAAAAGGAGGAGAAGCAATTTAGTATGTCGGGATCGTCTTCGGTGGCATGGAGTGCTTCGACACGGCGTACTTCAGGCGGGGTGATGTCTCGGGCTGGACATTTTGGCCAGTCCTCCGGAGGGCTGCTGGACCATTCCACCATAAGGAGGAGTTAACTAAGTCGATGGGTGTGCACCCTCTTGTGCCCATATCAGCGGGACTTTCGTTGCAGCGCACGTGCTTCCACGTGGCGTCCCCGACTAGATCGATAATCTGCGCGGTTCGATTGGAAACGAAAATTTTCCACATGTAGGGTGGCTTTTCTAGCCAAGCCAGGACTATTTCAGAATCGGACCACATGGTTAATTTTCTATTCGCGAGTTTGAGATGGGACTTGAAAACGGCAACTAATTTTTCCAAGAGAAGGGCCCCACATAACTCAAGGCGGGGTAGACTTGTGGTTCTAAGAGGCGCCACTTTACCTTTCGATACCAGCAGGTGGGAGGAAACACGGAGGCCTTCTGTGGTTCGAACATAAATATTTGCGCAATAGGCCTTTTCAAAGGCGTCGCAGAAACCGTGTAACTCGACATTTTGGTCCGGGATATAGTTAACCCACCGGGGTATTTGGATGTTGGGGATTGTTTGCAAGTTGTTTGCAAACTGTATCCATTTTAGGAGGCGGAGGATTTGACCTGTTCATCCCAGTCAGTACCATCAATCCATAGCACTTTCAATACAATTTTGGCTTGAATCATTATTGGCGTAAGCCACCCTGCGGGGTCGAAAAGTTTCGCCACGGATGAGAGGATTTGCCGCTTTGTTCTTGCCAACGATGCTGGGATAGACTCAATGGTATACGAGAATGCGTCGTTTAGGCCATTCCACTGAATCCCGAGTGTTTTTGTAGTACTGGCTCTCTCGAATTCGAGAAAGTTTGTGTCCAGCAAGTCTTCTTTGTTTATATTTTTGAGAATGTCGGGGTGATTGGCCGTGATTTTTTTTAAGGGAAAGCCTGCCGAGTTTAGTGCTTCAATTACTTGGGATAGCGATTGAGTGGCAGAGAGTAGGTCATGACCGCCAGACAGAATGTCATCCACATAAGTTTCACTATTTAATATAGTGACTGCCAGGGGATGGGCTATTTCCACATTTTGAGCGAGTTGGAGAGTGCGTATAGCGAGATAGGGTGCACAGTTTACACCGAAGGTGACAGTTTTTAATTTGTAGTCTCTTATTGGACTATTTGTGGATGACCGGAATACTATTTTTTGGAAATCTTGGTCATCTTTATGAAGTAATATTTGTCGATACATTTTGTCGACGTCGCCGCTGAAGACAAATTTGTACATTCGCCATTTCAAGATCAATAGCATTAAGTCTGGTTGGAGCGTTGGTCCGGTATATAAAACGTTATTCAGAGAGAGACCAGAACCAGATCGTTTGGATGCATTGAACACCACTCGTACTTTTGTCGTTCTTTTTTCGGGTTTGATAACCGCGTGGTGAGGGAGATAGAACGACATGCATTTGTCTACTGAGTTTTTGGTCATAGGAAGTCGTTTCTTCCATATGACCAAGGGAGAGGTATTCTTCTAAGACGCCGTCGTAAAGGGTTTTCAGATCACCCTTCTTGATTAGTGACCGCTCCACGCTGATGAATTGCTGGAGATGGGCCCAAGGCAATTTTATCTGGGATGTTAGGCTTAAAGGTGAGCCGGACTATGTATCGACCATCATTTGTGCGAGTGGTAGTGGCTGTATAGTAGGCTTCGCACTCCTTGTCTTCTGGAGTGGTGAGNAAGGCAATTTTATCTGGGAAGTTGGGCTTAAAGGGGAGCCGGACTATGTATCGACCATCATTTGTGCGAGTGGTAGTGGCTGTATAGTAGGCTTCGCACTCCTTGTCTTCTGGAGTGGTGAGATGAGCCTTTGGAACTTATTCAAGTTCCCAAAACCTTTTAAGTTAATTGTCCAAGTATTTATTGGATATTTCTTCCACCTGAGTGGAGAATGACTCCACCTTTTCGGGAATCTGACCACTTAAGATCCAGCCGAATATGGTATTTTGTGCTAACAGTTATGGGAAATCTTTTCGATACCTCGTAGCATGATTTGGGGGATAAGATCACTGCCTATTACTATCTCTATTTGAGCTGGAGAATGGCAGTTTGGATCTGCTAATTTGAGATGTGACCATTTTTCTCTTTGGGCGTTGTTCATTTGGAACTTTGGGAGAAGTCTGGTTAGTTTTGGCAACACTATAGCTTGAGCTTTTATTTTTGTACTTTGATCGGCGGGGACTAAGATCAGAGAGCATAGTTTATTAGACGTTTGAACCAGCCTTCCCTCCATGCCAGAGATTTCGAAGTTTGATTCTCGGCATGGGAGTCTTAATTTTGTTTGGGCCTTTGAAGAGATAAAGCTCCGTTCGGACCCTTGGTCAATCAGGGCTCTTAATTCAAAGAGATCACCTCTGTGTTCTACAGACACAATAGCCGTTGGGAGCAGTACCTTGTTATCGTTTTCCGAATAAAAGGACTGTACTTGTGTTGTGCTCGAACACGATGCCGGTTCATTAAGGGCTTCCGACTGACTGGTGGCTTGTGAGTTGGGACCGTTAGACAGTGTGGATGTATGTTGCGAAGTCTTTCTGTGGATTCGATCATCATTTTTATTTGGGGTAGATGCTACACTATAGTGGAGTGTTGAATGGTGCCGCTTTTGACAATGAAGGCAGGTGTTAGTGCTACTACAATCTTTTATTAAGTGTGTCTGAGAAAGGCAATTTTCGCACAGACTTTTATCTTTCACAAACTTTGTGCGATCTGGGGTAGACAATTATTTGTATTTGTAGCAGTTCTTCAGCGTATGCGTAGCGTGTTTGCACATAACCCAACTGTAAATTTTGCGCTGTTCTGTCATATGGGAGTTGATATGCGTTAGAGATCTGTTATGAGAATTTTGGGATTGACTGGGTTTCGAAAAGGATCTATTTTGTAAAACCGCCTGTCTTGAGAATGAGGTGTTTGGGGGATTTTGTCGGGGCTTGGCTGGTCGCCATTGATCCACCCTTTCCACCACTTCATACCGGGTTGTGAGGAACTGGTTCATTTGCGACCACTTTGGAAGGTCTTTACGTGAACTAAGAGATTGTTCCCACAATGCCACGGTATTTTCGGGGAGTTTGGATGTCACCAAATATATTAAAATAGGATCCCAACTCTCAGTGGAAATTTGTTGAGTTGCCAGGATTTGCAGGCAGTTGTTCACTGCGGATTGCAATCTTTGAATTTCTTCGCTACTCTCAATTGGGATTGTTTTAAGGTTCATTAAAATTCTTATTTGATTTTCAACCAATACTCGTTTATTCTCATATTGGGACCTTAAGGCTTCCCACGCAAGTTAAGGGAATTGTTTTACAATCTGGCCGGCTTTTCCTTGCGTTTTGTACCGGAGGTGGTACAATTTTTGTGCCTTAGTGAGTTTTGGGTGGTTTATGTAGACCGCAGTGAACATGTCACCCCCATAACCCCCATAAAATGTTTCAGTATCGCAAGGAGGGACCTTCAAGCGTAAGCCTAATTGCTCTTGGGGTTGTAACATATGTACTTTGGGCAGGCGTGAGGTCGCTTGCTTGGTTGAGAAGCAGGAGTTGATCACCGATCTGGGCTTTCGTATCTTCATACGTTATGCGGCATGACCTATACTTATTATAAGCGGAGACTTTGAAATCCTCGGGAAGTTCATGCTCTTCAGTCTCTATTATTACATCATACGCATTCTGAACCCGGTTCCAAAAATTATCTATATTCTTGTCCTTGATTTTTAATGCAGACTCAGTATTATCTTGGATTTGAGTCGTATTGAATCGGGTACAGTAGTCCATTAGATTATCTGTCTCCGAGATAAATTTAGGGGCAGCGACTGACTGTTTGGGCTTCTCATTGGACCTTCCACCTGCACGCGTACCGCGTTGAGATTCGGTGGAAGTTCCTTGTTGCTTCTCATCATCACTCATTTTTGGACTTTTAGATTTATCGTCACTATGAGGTGCGGTAAGCAGTAACGAGATAACTTTAATTAATGTATGAGGCGGAGATTAAAGAAAAAAAATGTCTATTGCTGATCTTATTTAAAGGTTCTTGTATCTGAGCGCAAAGGGAAGCTTTCGAGGTCTATATATGAATATATTTTTATTAATTTTGTTTTGGGGTGTGATGCGAGAAACAACGAAAAAAGTTTGCCCTTTTAGTATTAAAGGTTTATAAATATTTTGAACAGTTCGCAGAAATTATATGGTATTTCCAAGTTTTCGAGAAGCTAGAGGTTCGCCTTGTATTACTGTATCCGCTTTGTGATTATGAGGGAGCGCGTTTAGGAGTGAGCAAAAACAAAAAAAGTCTTTTGGGCCCTGACTATCTTTATCACCGAACTGTAATGTATGTGAATATGTATATACAATTATAAACATGTATGGGTATATGTAATTTTTTAATAGAGAAGGGGTTAGTATATTTTAATAATACTCTCAAAGGAAAGCTCCCCGAGCAATTATTTAATTGTACTTTATATATTTTATGTTGAGCCTTCTGCGTGAAGCAGATTCACATTTATTTATGTGGGAATGGGTTTTATCAAATTTTTCCAAGCGGGCATTCACATAAAGATGCACTGTGCGTATACATATATATGTACATATACACAGTAGTTATTTATTCTTTTACTTTTGAGAGGAAAAAGAAAAGAATAAGTAACCAAGAGAGATGTGTATGTATGTATGTTTTATATATGTAGATATTATGTACTGGCTAATCACGAACCGTATGCTTTTTTTGGCGGGAACCGTGTACTTTTTGGCGGGAAATCGAGAAATGGAATTGTACATATATGTAAGGAAATTTACTGTAACGGGATGAGAGCACCGTTTTTATAAAATGCATGCGAGTTTTGTTTAACGAACAAAAATTTACGTATTTGCGATTTTGGATATCAGCTTTTGTTTTAATAAATGGCGTTAGTAAGCAATTCATATTCTTACTCACGGTTTAAATGGGATACTTGTAATTTTGATATATTCCGACAGTGCTGGCTCTTTGGAGGCGACGAAGGACCATAGGCACAAGCTTGGTGCGTGTGGTAATTCCCGCGCTGCTGGCTTTGCAGTGGGCACTGGAAACGACGGCTGGTTGTTGCGGATGCAGATCCGGGTGGTGGTGGCGACGTAAACGACAACGGCGAGGACGTGGCGTGAATGATACTTGTTGCTCGTCACGCTGGACAATGGCGGGTGCAGATTCGCGCGGTAGTGGCTTCGTGTGGTGGACGTTGAAATGCTCTTGGTGCAAGGGTCGGCTGGCCGCGCAGTGGACAATGACTGGCGAACCTGGAGTACGGCGCGATGTGGCGAACTTCTCGCAGAACCGGCAAGGGTTGCTTTTATGAAAGGTTTCCCCGAGTCAATATAAACGAAGCACTGTCCGAAATCGGTATATTTATGCACGAACTTTAATGCAATTCCCTTAGATGAAAGAACAACTGCGAATTTTGATTTTAAACAATAATTTAATTGATATTCAAAGGGGATGCGACTTGATGGTTGACAATTTTTCTTTTTCTTTTGTTGACAGTTTGTCAACCTAAAACGTCAGCTGCGCGCTGCTTTACCTACGCGCGTTGCCAACCACGCAAATTCATAAAATATTTCAAAGTTTACAAATCAGGGTATTCACTAATTACATTGTTTTTGCAAGTTAGGTAATTCAAAGGCAAAAGATACAAAATGTAAATAGATACACGTTAGATAATTCAAAGGCAAAAGATACATTACGTAGGTGGATAACAATTCTAAAGTTACTCAATTTTTAAAAATAATTCATGGTTGCGACGGTTAAACGGCATGCGTCGCTCGTTTAACCACATGTATTTATATCAAAGTCTCCGTATAACCAAAGTTGGGCAAAGCCAGCGCCAACACAATGCAGTAAGATGGCCAACTCTCAACTTTTCGCTTGCGTCGTTCGTCAGCTCTTCTAAATAATCAAAATTATGTGATTTAATTTTAATTTTGAATCAAATGCGGGCAAGAAATATAGTTTTTAATGCATTTATTGATGTAAACTTTTGATTTATCTGCCGCTGGTGTGTTAATTTAGTGAACAAAGTATTCTCTGCTACGCGTTCATTGTAGCAAGCACGGGCGTTACTCGCGCTGCTGTCAAAGCGACGCCAGCGCCAACGCAACGCCAAAGTTGTATGCGGACAGGCCTTCAATTTAGAGATAAGTCTGTAATTAGAAACAGCATTCCTACGTCCTGACCTAAAGATGGGCGTGATGGACGCTACTTTCCAGCGCTCGATGAAAACTCCTGAACGAAGAGAGGGATTGAAGATCATACACAGTGGAACACAAACGGAGGAATGACATTGCTTAAAGAAAAAGGGACAAATACCGTCAGAATCACATTAAAGAGACTTTTTTAAGAGAGAATATGCCTCAGATAATGTCAGATTCTGTCAAGGACATCGATCCAAAATCTAAACCTTGTGGAGGACAGGAATTAACTGGAAACCTGGAGGAGTTGTCAGCGATAAAATTTGATTTAAAAAACTCGGCGAAAAATTCGGCAGTATCACTAATCGACTCAGAACTCTTACCATTATAGCTCATACAGGAAGGTATATTTGAGGAGCCCGATTTGGAACGGATGAAGCTCCAGAAGGCTTTGGGATTTTGCTTCAAGTCAGACTCAAATTTACTAATATACTTGTTATAAAGAAATTTATGCAAGATGTTAAATTGTCTCATGAACGAGATATATCTAGCCTTGAGATTAACATAATGAAGCTAACTTTTATGTAGTTTATAATAGTTGCGATCCCGTACGAGTCCGGACTAGTCAGAATCCGTCAGATTTTACTGGAANAGTTACCAGTTTTAGTCCGAGAATTTTTTGCTGGTAAATTCTGGTAAATGTGTCAATCGATCAGCTGTAGTGTGTTAGGCAACCAAATTGTAAACAAAAGAAAAGTGCACTCTGCTAATTCATGTTGAAAAGTATTTAATTACATGTTTAAGTGGATTCTAATGAATTTGAAAGTATTTTTGGTTATTTACATGTGTGAACTGAGTGTGTTTACATACAAAATAAGCCAAAATTTACAACCAAAATTTGGAGGTTATGTTGAAGTTGATAGAAGTTACCTTTTTTACTAGAAAGCGATCCCGTAATTTTCAGTGTTACTCTCTCGCTCTGAGCGAATTTTTATTTTTTGACAGTTTTACTAGTCCGAGTCCGAGGAATACGGGATTGCACCTAATACTTGTTTCTTTTATTTTTAAGATTCTTGAGTCTACTTGTGTACCAGGGTAATCTATGAACCCTAGGTGGCAGCAGCGGAAGAGATTTAGAAAAAAGATTATTCGGTGTACACACAAAAGACACTCTGAGACGATCTTAGAAATAACAAGTAAGAAAGTCTAAGTTCGGGCGGAGCCGAACATTAAATACCCGGCGCAAGTATTAAATAAATGTTTTTTCACCTTTCCGAAGGCTACCGCTATATGGTAAGCCGAGTGTATCAATTTTGAGTAAATTAGCGTCCTTAAATTTCGAAATATCGCAGTTTCAAGCATCTCTGAAATTTGCCGTTATATGAAAAGTGGCCGTAATTTGAATTTGATTCCAATCATTTTCAACGCTTTGCTTTTATGTGGCAAGCACAATAACCATACCGAGTTTGGTACAAATTGGTAGAACGGTTACCGAGATACATATATGTATGTGATCATAAGTGGGCGGTGCCACGCCAATTTTCCAAAATTTTATCATAAACGTATTTCTTGGTAAATGATGGTTGCAAGCGTCAATTTTGAATAAATTAGCTTTAATATTTAGTTATTTATCGAAGATTGCGTATTTCTCTAAATTACCCCTATATGGAATGTGGGCGTGGTTATTGTCCGATTTTTTAAATTTTCGGCCATTTGGTATGCTGTACCAAAGCCAACAATTGTGCCAAGTTTGGAATAAATCGGTGCAGCGGTTGCCAAGATATACACATGTAACCATAAGTGGGCGTGGCTACGCCCATTTTTCAAAAATTTATAATTTTCTTATTTTTTCGTCTCAAAATTATTACAAATATCAATCAAAAATCAATCAAAATATCAATTTTTGAGTGAATAATCTTCAGTAGTTACTAAAATATCGCAGTTTTCGTTTTTCTGAAAATTACCGTTATATGGAAGGTAGGCGTGGTTATTGTCCGATTTTGCCCATTTTCAATACCATCCGTCCTACGCCCGAAAGAAGTACACGTACCAAGTTTCGTTAAGATATCTTAATTTTTACTCGAGTTATCGTGTGCACAGACGGACGGACAGACGGACGGACGGACAGACAGTCACCGCTTAATCGATTTCTCTTTTCATTCTGATCATTTATGTATACATTTGTCTATATCTATCTCGATTCATTTTGCCTGTTACAAACAACCGTTATGTGAACAGAACGTTAGCATCGCAGAAGTTAAAGAAACCAGACGTTATATTCCTTGCAGTGAAATCATCAAACATTTCCAAACAAATAATTATGGTCACATGATGCATATCAGTTTTACTAGTCGGAAACTGCATTTCTCTAAGTTAAATATTGAATTTTCATCAACAAAGACAAGGTCAAGACTTTTAGACAACTTATTAGATAATGAAATGTAAATTGAATTAAGTTTAAACTAAGCAGACTATCCAGAAAATTTATCTCGTACGTCCTGTTTACGTGTGTTGGAGTCAGGAAACCATTTCTTTGTAGGTCGGACCAGACTATATCTGCAAGACTGAGATCGCCAAGAATGCAAAACGAAGAGTCAGGATTCTGCTCACATTGTGAACATGACAGCTGTATAGATAGTCCGTACTATTTGGCGGTATATAGGATGTGCAAATGAATAATTTTCCAAGCGAACCATAGACACAAATACAAATTTGATCTATGAGAGTATCTAGATTCCCTAATGGATGTAACGACGAGCGGATATAGCGCTTCAAGGCGATTAGGACACCACCACCTTTGGAGTGACCAGTCTTTACCGGACCTCTATCCTTCCTGAATACATTAAACAAAGTTGGATTAAAATGTTCTTCGTCATGAAAGTCAGCGTTCAGTCATGTTTCCACAAAAACATAGACATCAAAGTCAACGCGGGACGTTGATGAAAATATCTCTTTGGTTTTAGTCGGCATTCCAGATATATTTTGAAAATAAATTTTAAAACCCTTAGGGGCTGAGCTACAGCTGCTAGAATTCCTGGGTCCGAGTTCTCTCGACGGCCCTGTAAATACATGCACATTTACTTATGTATATAGATTTGATCTAACACTGGTATTTGTGTATTAGGGGGCGATTAGCATCCAGATAGGAACTTTAAAACTATTAAATTCGAGTATAACAACTCTGGAATACAGTGAAACCCGCTTAAGTATCCCCCGCATAAGTACCTAACCCGCTTAAGTTCCCAATATTATTGGGCACCGTGAATTTTTTAATGTATTCTGAAGAAAATCCCTCTTTTAAGTACCTCCACGCTTATGTACCCAACCCGCCTAAGTTCCTACATTTTTCGTACTCCATTTACCATTTTACTTATAATTTTCCCCTTTTAAGTGCTTTTTTTAAATTTCTTCAAACATTAACATATTTTGAAATTTAGTGGCAGCGCTACACACCGCCAAAACAATTCTAAAAAATCAACGGTAATTTTTAGCCACTTGAAACTTGCGCATTATTAATGGGTTATAAAACTGTATACTCATAAAAAATTTTGACACTTCTGATAAACAAGTTTGAAATTTTGATAAATCTTTTCAGTGTTCTACAAAATTTTAAGCTTATATTTTAAGTTTCGATGGTATTTGTTATGGAATGATTTTTTTTTAATTGAAAGATTTTAAAAATTAAAATGTAAGCATAAATAGGTGGCAAACAATATCATTTTGAATTTGGTCCAAAATGATACGCCCTGTTTGTATGTGTGTATAAATATTTATAATCAATGACTTGTTAATTTAATTCTTGTGAAAATAACAGAAAATTGCTTTATCTGTTTTTTTTTTAATAAAGTTTTCCTTTATGCTTTTACGTGTTTAAATAATGCAACGATCTTGGTTTTAAATTACTTATACTTCATTAAATGTTAATGTTTAATCAAGGACTTATTTAGGTAAGTTAACAAGAAGATGTAACTGCAACACAAATTATGTTCGCTTAAGTACCCAACCCGCCTAAGTACCTCAAAAAGCTGACATTTCTCGTGAGGTACTTAACTTTACTTTACTTTACTGTACTTGATTTGTAAATTTAACTTTATTTTTGCTTGAAAAAATAAAAGGCAACAATTACCGATTATTTTCTGCTCAAAACAATAAAGGCCAAATTTTAGCTTTTATTTTTACCTTAAAAAAATAAGGAGCAAAATTAACCGGTACTATTTGCTCAAAATAATAAAAGTAAAAAAAATAAGTAAAATTTTTGGGTTTTTATTATAAAATGCATAACCGGTACGGTTTCTGAAAAATATTCAGCCTTATCATGAGTTTAATTTTTCCCGAACCGGTTCACTTTTCACTTTGGTTTCGTTCGGTTTGGCGGAACTCAGGATAAGGCAGATTAATTTTCAAGAATTCTATAAAATCATGGACAACTTTAAGCGCCTTGAGCGACCTCTAAATATTTTTAAAATAAAAAATAGGGATAAATTTTTTTCGATATAGAACAATCCTAGGGGGTGAGAGCATAAAAATTCCGTCTTTACTTTTACACATGCATTTTTGGACCACCCCAATGTATATACTTAGCAGTGTACTTAGTATAAATTATTATATAATTTAATAACACATAAATATCGATGGCTGAGTGGAAGATCGACCTATCTCGGCAGCCAATTCGAAAACGCCCTATCTCAGAAAACTTTTCAAGAACTCCCCACTTCAGAATTTGATTGAAAAATGTCCTATTTCAGAATATTATTGAAAAACACCCTATCTCAGAATTTGGTTGAATAACGCTCTATCTCGGAATTCGGTTCAAAAACGCGCTATCTCGAATGAAAATACATTGAAAATAAGCTGAGATGGGGTGTTTTTGAATCGGCATCTAAGAAAATTTTCTGAGATAGGGCGTTTTCGAACTGGCTGCCGAGATAGGTCGATCTTCCACTCAGCCATCGATATGTACATACATACTTATATATATTTCTATTGTCATCGTAAAACAGCTCTGTTTAAATTTAAACAATCTACTGTGTTAACAAGTTGTAATTTCTTACAGCAAAATAAAAGTTTACTAATTTAAGTTTGCATTGCTTCTTCTGAGGGGATTAAAATTGGCTCCAAAGTTGGTTGTATTAATTTACAAAATAAGAGCAGAGGAAATACGTAGAGGCATGGAAGCGGAAATTCGTAGCTTTTCAGTTATTGTGGCCAATATAATTGTATTTCTGGTTTTGTTCTTTAAGTTGATGGCGCAAGGAAGGCGAAATGCATTTGAGCTAAAAAGTCGTAAAACGTAGCTGCAATAAAAATAATAAATCGACATCGCACAATCGCAAAAGATGCACACGCAGATAGGGTAAATGCTGCAAGGAGCTAAGACGAATTCATTTCTTCGACGCATACATACATACATAAATTTTTGCGCATACGTCTACGCATTTTACAACATGCACCAGCACACAAATTTTTATTGCCAACGCGCAGAGTGTTGCATCGAAATTTCACGTACATATGTATGTATGTATATACATAATTGCATTTAGCAGTGGTTCTTCAAATGGTTGTTTAGTCAGAAATTATCATACATATTTATTTACATTTGCACATACATGCATATGTACATATATATGTACCTAAATATTAATAAGTATTAACAGAGTTACCGATATTCATAAACCAGGTTTGTAAGGAAACTTAAAAGATTAGGGAAATACATTCAGCTCCATCTGTGAACTAATCAATTAGTACATTCCTCACAGTTTATCCGCAAAGTTTCCCCAGATATGGGAAAACTTACAGCTGATTGAAAAACACTGTAGATTATCATTTTGTGATTTGTTTTGTACTGTGGATCTTATTATTGAGAAACAATTCCTGTAAACAAAAGACGCTGCAGTCTGCAAAGGTAAGTATCTATTCCATATTCATGAATTTATGATAGTTTTTCGTATAAACTATATTTTTCGAATATTCGTTGCAATTGATTGATACTTCCCGTTTATAGGTGCAATCCCGTATTCCTCGGACTAAAACTAGTAAAACTGTCAAAAAATAAAAATTCGCTTATAGCGAGAGAGTAACATTGAAAAGTACGGGATCGCTTTCTAGTAAAAAATGATACTTCTGTCAACTTCAACATAACCTCTGAATTTTGGTTGTCAATTTTTGCTTATTTTGTATGTAAACACACTCAGCTCACACATGTAAATAACCAAAAATACTTTCAAATTCATTAGATACCAGTTAAACAAGTAACTAAATACTTTTCAACATGAATTAGCAGAGTGCACTTTTCTTTTGTTTAAAATTTGGTTGCCAAACACACTACAGCTGATCGTTTGACACATTTTCTAGAATTCACCAGCAAAAAATTCTCGGACTAAAGGTGCCCACACTCACCGACGTGTACGTATGCCTTGTCTGTTTGACGCAGCAACATATACAATTTACTGTTGATAGAGAGAGAGAGAAGCACGCGTAACCGTCGCACGTACACGGTGATCAGTTTTCGTTTACATGGCGCGCTCATAAGTTTGATCGTGTGAGCCACACTCACGTACGTTAACGTGTCAGTTGACACGATCAAACTTATGAGAGCGCCATGTAAATGAAAACTCACCACCGTGTACGTGCGACGGTTACGCGTGCATCTCTCTCTCTATATCAACAGTAAATTTTATATGTTGCTACGTCAAACAGACACGGCGTACGTACACGTTGGTGAGTGTGGGCACCATAAAACTGGTAACTTATGATAGAGAGAGAACCGTATTTACTCCCTTTTTTGTCCTCTCAATAGTCAGAGAACCAAGCACGGGATCGATTTCCTGTAAAATCTGACTGATTCTGACTATTTCTGACTAGTCCGGACTCGTACGGGATCGCAACTTATGTTAAGAAGGAATATAAAAAATTTTTTTTAGAGATTAAGTCATAAATAAAAAAGTAACTTCTCCGTTTTTCAAAGTAAGCCTCCGAAATCGAGATATGGGCCTTCGAAGTTCAAAATAGGACCATTGGCAAAAAATTATTTTTATTTATTGTATGTAAATAACTAAAAAAGTAAAAATATATGCGAAGTCCGCCTTGTGCTCTTATTTAAACGGTATGTAACTTTTTTGTGCAAACCTATATTACAGGTTCACCAAATTTTTTAAAATTCAGTTTACAATTGTTTTAAATATCTATAAGGTTTTTAATTTTTCGAAGATCTGACCTTTGACCCCCTATAGCAGGGGTGTGCAAGGTTGAGGCCGAAAATCCCACATGTGAATTCTAAATGCTACAAAGAGCCACAAAAAACAACAAAAACAAAAATTTTATTTTTAAATCAAATTATTATTAGAAATGAAAAACATTAATTTTATTATTATTCTAATGTACGCAAGATAGATATTAAAGAAAACTCAAGATTCGTTCACGTGCAAGTTAGACGAACAGCTGATAGAAATTTTATTTACATTCAAAAGAATAAAATTGAAAACGTAAGAAAATAAATCCTGAGGTCTTATCATGACACAGTTCACTGACTAAACGAATAATTACTTTCTCCTTACAAGTTTAATTAGTCGTATTTTACTATTTTAACTTCCAAACCTTCAAATTCAATTTAGGGATTTGCGTAAATTCCAACCAGCTATTTTTGATCAGCTGTTTTCTTGTTGGCAAAGTGCTATTGGCAAACATTTTTCCAGCAGAAACTAGCAGCTTTCTCTCAAAATGAAATGTTAATTTGCGCCTCAATTTCCTCTACTTTGCAAGTTTTTTGCGTACGCGAACACAAAAAGCTGATAGTTTTTATAACTTTCAATAATTATCAGGTACGCGAATGCAACTACTTGTGAACGGTATTTTTACTTTACTAATTTCATTGTAGGTACAAAGACCCAGAGTTATATGTACGTTGTACCAAGAATTGACAATATACGGCACGCAGTTGTTTTAAAGAGCGGATATTTTAAATCTGGTACTTGTTGCCGGAATTCATGCAATAGCAAAGCTTTATGTTGCATTTCCAGTACCTTTTCTTTTAATTCCAAAAACTAAGTCTTCTTCGCTTTTCTTAAAAAGCAGTATTTTGGATATTATAAATTCATCCTTATTTATGTTACATAAAAAAGGTTTGTGAAGTATGCAAACGTACATTTAAATAATTTCTAATCGGCAAATCTTTTTTCAAAACCTTCTTCTTAATCATGTGCAACATTTTTTTCTAGCCATGTAAAATGAAGAATTTTTTTTTGAGATCATGAAATAAAAAGACGTAGTTTAGCTTCAAAACTTAAAATAATTTGCGACAAATCAAAAACATTTTTTTTCTCTCATTGTAGAGACAAATTCAAGTTTTGTCAATGTTCCATCATATCGGTAAAGAGCATTAAGTCAGAAAGCCCATTTTCATTCCCCAATCGCGAATAATGTTCCGACCTCAATTTGCATATGTGTATATAAAAAGAATAAAATAGAAAAACAATGCAATGGAAAAGAATGTCCAGCAAAGAGATATGTATTTTAAAAAGTAAATGTTCTAAGAAAATGGAAAGTAAAAATAGCCGCACTTTGCTAAGCAAAGAGCCGCATTTGGCTCAAAGAGCCGCGTTTGCCCACCGTTGCCCTATAGCATCTGTAATATAAGTTTGCACAAAAAAAAATTTATATACCGTTTAAATAAGAGCAGACCACGACTATGTTTTTACTTTTTTTTAAGTGTTTACATACGCAAATAATTTTTTACCAGAGGTCCAATTTCGAACTTCTAAGTCCCATATATCGATTTTGGAGGCTAACATTGAAAAACGGAGAAATTACTTTTTTAATTATGACTCATTCTCTTAAACAAAATTTGTTGGGTCCAATACACAGCCGAGTGGTGCAATTTTTAGGAAAACTTATAGAAAATACTGATAGTTTATTTTCTTGCTTCGTTCTGTTTCATGAGTTTTGGGTAATTTTTGCTTATCTCTATATTAAAAATAAAGCAGTGCAATTAACTAGGTTGTATGTGTGCCGAGGTAATTGAAAAATTATCTTTTTATCATTAAGGTAAAAATACCCCTTTTGGAGCGAGTGCCAGTTTTAAAACGATAATATATAATATATATAGAAAAAAAAAGAATTAAGCCACCCTGTGATCACACGTGAGTGCGATTTTCCTGCAACATCGTGAGCACTTACAAAATTTCGCAATTATTGACTGTACCTGCGTCCGCATTATTGCGCAATGATTGATCAATTTCGTTATTTTTCTGAAAAATATTTGTATCATATAATTATAACACACTGGTGAAAAATGCGTACAAGTTCTTCGAGTTCACTCAATTTTCAAAATTTTTAAATTATGTACCTAATTTTCAATTTCTACTTTTTTGTTGTATTTTCGAATTTGTATCATTTTACACGCCCCTTTTTCCAATAGCTCCCATTTTTCTATGACTATGCGATTGATCTCATATATCTCTATACCATATTCGAGTACCCTACCATGAACATTCCAGAGATATGCAGTATCAAAAATCCGGTTTGTATGAGAGGAGCCACGCCCCTTTTTCCAATATCGCACATTCTTCTTCATGACTATGCGATTGATTTACTATGTCTTGTACATACCAAGTTCCAGTACTCTACCATGAATACTTCCAGATGTATGCAGTAAGAAAAATTCGGTTTCTATGGGAGGTGCCACGCCCCTTTTTCCAATAGCCCCAAATTTTCTTCATGACTATGCGGTTGACTTTATATGTCTTGTACATACCAAGTTCCAGTACTCTACCATGAACACTCGCAGAGATATGCAGTGTTAAAAATTCAGTTTGTATGGGAGGTGCCACGCCCCCTTTACTTAGCGGTAAGAAAAATACTTTACAACGTATTATCATACCTACCGAATATAAAAAAAAAACTTCATTCAAATCGGTCATGCCGTTTCGGAGGAGTTCGACCACAAACACCGTGACATGAAATTTTTATATATTAAATTTGTATACAAAAATACTAAAAATCCTAAAAGAAAAAATTTAGACAATTTTTTAGGATAGGGACACCCCAATCGCCAAATTCCAGTACTCTACCATGAACACTTCCAAAGTTATGCAGTATGAAAAATTTGATTTGTATGGAAAGTGGCACGCCCCCTTTTACAACAACCACAATTTTTCTCCATCAGAATGCGACTATTTTCGAATATCTTCATACCATGTTCGAGTTCTCTTCCATGAACATTTTCCGGGATATGCGGTATGAAAAAGTCGGTTTGTATTGGATGTGCCAAGCCCCTTTTTCTAACATCCCCAATTTTTCTTCATGACCATGTGATTGACCTTATACAAAATATCTCCATACCAAGTTCCTGTACTCTACCATGAGCACTTCCAGAGATATACCTATATTATGAAAAGTTTGGTTTTTAAGGGGGGTGCCACGCTCCCTTTTGCAATAACCGCAATTTTTTCTCCATGAGTATGGGATTGTTTTCGTATATCTCCATACCATCTTCGACTACTCTACCATGAACACTTTCAGAGATATGCAGTATGAAAAATTCGGTTTGTCTTGGAAGTGCCACGCCATTTTTCCAAAAACTACAATTTGTCTCCATCAGAAAGCGTTATTTCCGAATATCTCCATACCATGTTCTAGAGTACTCGAGTACCATGAACACTTCCAGAGATATGCAGTATGAAAAATTGGTGACAGGTAATAAGATCAACGGAAATAAGGTCAATTGACTTTATTTCCCGCCCTGGTGCGAAGTAAAGTTAATTGGCATTATTACCTTTTCAAAAGCGAAATAAAATCCGCTGACATTATTGCTCTTTCAAACATTAAATTTGCTTAGCTTCGCGGCGGCCCGCGTCCGCGCGCCACACCGATGGCGGAGACATGAATACAGTGTAAGAAAATTCCTTTTCTTTAATTTTTCCTTATAGAAAGGTTGGTTTCTTTTCATCCAACTTAGACATTCCGAATTCATTCAAAATATGCTAATTTAAAACACAGAATTCTTTCAGTGTTCCTCCGGGGTTTTTGGACATGGACTGTTCCTTCAATTTAATAGTGATCCCTTTATTTTTGTGGAAACGAAACATGTTTTGCAAAGTTCTGGATCATTTCTACACTCTTTCTTCAAATCTTTCTCGTATTTCAGCTGCGTTTTGTGTTTGGTTTTTCGCATCGTGTTTTTACTATATTCGTAATTTTAAATTTTTTAATAAAATCAATTGGTGGTAGTTCATGATTGTCAGTGGATTAATAGCACCACACCGAGGATTTGGCAATAACCTTTTTCATCTATTAACAAACAACACTTACGGAGCATTGTTTATTTTAAGAACAACATTTTTTTCTATGAACCGACATAATTTAAGCATTGTTGGCGCTATTTCCATTTGAATGAGGAAATAGTGTCAATGACTTTACTTCCCAATTTTTGTTGACTTTATTGCGCTATTGAAAAGATAATAATGTCAATTGACTTTATTTCGCATCTTTCCTTATTTCCGTTGATCACAGAAAAATTCGGTTTGCATCGGAGGTGCGACGCCCCTTTTTACAAAAACCACAATTTTTCTCCATGAGTATTCGATTGTTTTCTTATATCTCCATACCATGTTTGAGTACTCTACCACCCAGAAAAAAATCGGTAATCGCTTTTTGTGGTAACGTGTTCTAGAAGGCATAGCGTTATAATGCCTTCTAATTTTTTCGCTTCTTTTAGGCAATGCCGGTAATGCAAAGTAGAATGTCCTACAATATTTTATTTATTTCGCTTCTTTGTTTTATTTCGGGGAATGCAAAGTAGAATGTCCTACAATATTTTATTTGTTTCGCTTCTTTGCTTCATTTCAGGGAATTCAAAGTAGAATGTCCCATGAGCGAACGAATAAGATCACCCAGGACGGCGTGCGAGAAAAAAGTTATTTTTTTGGCAATGACGTCATTTTTTCGCCGCCATGTGAATGAAAAGGAACGAAACCATGTGTGTGAATGAAACAACCGATTAAAAAATGACGTCATCAATTATTTAT